TTTTTTTTTTTGTGAAAGGCAAGTTAGTTACAGTTTTATGTTTGTTACTAACAAATATCAGGCAATCATGAATACTTATTAATTATTATTTTCCTTTAGTTTACTATTAGTGAACTGAAATCATTCGTATTCATCATTTTTTTTGTAGAAAAGCAAGTCAGTTACAGTTCTGTATTTGTTACTAATGAATATTAGTCTATTATAAGCACTTACTAATTATTATATTTTTTCTAGCTACAATTGTTGAACTGGAATCATCGTTCATGTTTTCTGTTATTTGTATTTTTTTTTTTGTGGAAAGGTATGTCAATTATAGTTTTATATTATCAGTGAATATTAGGCAACCAGAAGCATTTATTTATTATTATTTCTTTAGCTTACAATTGTTAAACTGAAATTGCTATTAGTTGTGGTAATTATTTTTTTTTTGAAAAAGCAAGTCAAATACAATTTTATGTTACTAGCAAATATCAGATGACTATGGACACTTATTAACTATTACTTTCTTTGGTTTACAATTATTGGCCTGAAATTGTTCGTGTTCAATATTATCTTTTTTTGTATATATAAAGGCAAGCCAATTACAGTTTTTATTTGAATATTTAGTTACATCTAAATTTTGTTACTATAACTTGAATGCAGTATTGAAAGTCTTATTTTTTAAATAGTTGCAATAGAGCTAGAAACTGATGATTCTTTGTCCAAAAGTATTTCATCTACTAGTATTTCATTGGTATCCCAGACAACTAAATCTACTTTGCAACAACCTATAAGTTTAATGACTTCGAATAATGAATTAGAGTATATAACTGATGAGTCTGATGAACAATTAGATGATAAGTTTGATGAACAATTGATGATTTATAAAGGTAATCTTTATTGTTCTTGATTTAAGAATTAGAAGACAAATCTTATAGTATTAATATTGTTAGGACAAGTTTTTCAAACTGTTGAAGAAGCTTATTTTATGGTTGAATCATTTGCTTATTCAAATAGATTTAGGATCCAAAAAGGATGTGTTGAAAAAGATTCAATAGTGTATATAAGATTTCAAGATTATTTATATATTGTTATGCTGAGAAACCACCAAATCAAAAAGAATCACACAAAACTCAAAGTATCAGCTCATGCTGGACTGATTGTAAATAGAAGGTTAATATTTATTAGAACAAGTAATTAAGTAGTTATCATATTTTCACTTTTACAAATACTCATACTAGCTATATACTTGACTGACCACCATACAATTTATCCCTAAAAATCGAAAGCTTTCCAAAGAGATGTTAAAAAATATTGAGTTTTATACTTTCTCTGGAATGCTTAATTTAAGTGCTCAATATTCACTTCTTTTAAAAAAGTACAAGGTTCTGATTCATCGTAACAACTTATACAATGCAATTACAAAGGTCAAAAAAATAGTCTTACATAGTGATAATGATGAAGAGAATTGCTATCAAAATTAATTAAAAAAAAAGGAGAATAATTTAAGATGGGTTATTGAGTGGCATTTTAATTCAAATACTAATGCTTTATCGCATCTTTTTTGGATGTCTCCGAATCAACTTGATCTTTGGATGTGGTATAATAATATTATTCTTCACAATAATATAGCAAAGATGAACGTTTATAGTATACCATTATCCCTCTTCATAATTACAGATAACACTTACCAATTTTGCCTTATTGCACAAGCAATAGGAGAGTTATATTCCTGGCTACTTGAAGTCCTAATTAAAGCTATTGAAGGGCTTTATTCAAATACTATTTTAACAGATGCTGATCCTGCCATAACCCTCGCTATCTCTACTATTTTACCTTCAACTCAGCATCTTTATTGCATTTGGCATATTAGTCAAAATATATAAAAAAACCTTAAGAGCAAATTAAGTTCTGATTTATTAAGGATTTCTATAAAACTCACAATATATTAGATCTACAAATATTTGAAGATCAGTTTAAATCTTTGAAAGAATCTTATCCAAAAGCTGCATCATATCTTAATAAGTCTTTATATTTTAATAGACAAGCTTGGACAAGGGCTTATACTTTTCATCATTTCACTGCCACACTATACATGCTGACAAAATTATTTTAGGTTTCAGGGTACAAAATTAAAATTTGAAGACGAAATTGTTTTTGACCTATTTTACTTAATGACAAAATTTTTTGACACATTTTTTGAAAAGATGAAATTATAAAGAACATAACTATCTAAATTAGATTTGCTCTTATATATAGTTGATACTGTCTAATTGCATACTGTTTAATTGCATATACACTTTAAGTGTATAAAAAAAATTTAGCTTTTAATTATTAACACCGAAATGGTTCTTATAATTTAAATGCATATACTGTCTATATGCATAAAAAATTCTCTGACAAATAGCATGTAATTAGACAGTATCAACTGTATAAAAAATTCTAAATTGCTCTAATAAAGATGAAATAGAGGTTTTTTAAAAACCTATTTCAGTAGTATATATAGCCAGCACACAAGCAACAAGTCACATTGAGTCAATTAATTCACATATTAAATCTATTATATGCCATAGTTATAAACTCTTTATAATTTGTTCAACTCACTTGATTCTTTAATCACTAGTCAAGACTATTATTATGACTTTATTAGTTAGAAGTTATTAAATCCAAATATTAAACTACCAAATGTTTTTGATACTATGTATTCAAATGTTGATGCCATTCTCAAGACCTTTGTTGCACCTAATCTGATTGAAAAAATTTGCTATAAAATAAAACATAGCTTATTTTATTATTCAACTAAAATTAACTCTGACTTTTTATATTTGTATCAAGTAAATAATCATTTTTATTGTATTATATAGGTTGCATTTATTTTTACTAATAATTATTCAATGATCTTTATTAATTGATGGCTCATTTTACCAATAATTAGTCTACTAACAATATAAGAAGACTGTTGGTGAACTTGTTGTAATAAAATAAGCTTGTAATAAACTATATATTAGCAAAGCAATTATTAACCTTTATGTTTATTTTTATTCCAGATGCAAGATGACAATGCTGTATTTATTGACAATGCTTTTGATTATCTGTTAGCTCATTCCTTTGTGCTCTTCTAACAAGTTAAGGATAAAGTAGTTAAAGTTTGGAAAGTGATACATATGACCTGGCAACATTCTTAGCTTCATATATTTTTGCTTTTGGATAGCTTTTTTAAATGCAACTATATGTTACTAATTAATTGTGGGTATTCTTGTAGACATTTTTTTAGAGTAATAGTGTATTTTATAGCTGCTAAATTTTCAATTAATTTTATGGCAAAGCATTGTTTGCTTGAAAAATATCAAGATGAAGATCTTGGTATACAACTTCTTATAAATTTATCTACAGTTTTTTTGCCAGAATTATCTGAAATATCAACTCCAACTACTATATTATCATCAAATGAATCCTCAAGTTTATTTTCTGCATCAAGTGAAATGTCTACTATGACTCATCTTTCATCATCTGTCACTACAAAAAAGGCAATGCAGAAAAAAAATTTTATACTGAAACTATTGGAATTGCACAAAAGGCCATTAATATTGCTTTAAAAAAGATAATTCGAATATTCTTAAGTTTTTAAAAAACTATATTCTTCAAAATGAACACTTTCTGGTTGAGAATATAACCAAATCATCTGTCTTCAGTTATAAAACAAGTATACTCAAAGAATGTCCTGAACCAAATGTTATTATTAAGAATTCACAAGTATCTAACCCTATAAAAAAAGTTAAAAAAGGTCAACCCCTGAAAACAGCATGCTGCCAATCAGTACTAGAAAATCGGTCATAAAAAAGAAAAAACCAAAATTGGTATGTAAACCCAGAACTAATATATGTGAAGAATGTAGTAGCAAAGGTCATAATCATCGATAGCATACAAAACATGAAAATAGAGCCTGTAGTTCTACAATTATGTGTAAACTTTGTGTAGGTGTGGTTATAAAAAAGAGTTACATAACCATGATCTTGTAGATGAAAATGAAAATAAATAGGTTAGTTCAATTGGTTTAGAGGCAGATGGTGAAATGGATATTAATAAGTAATTGTTGTTGCTCTTAAAATGTTTTTTATATGGGGGCGGTCAATAGAAAAGGGACAAATTGGGTAGATCACAATTTTGAGATAATTGAGTTTTTGTGTTGTGTTATACAAATTTCAAATTTAATCTGAAGCAAGACGACCAAATCCAAACAAGATCCGAAACAGGTTTCGAACCAAATTCCGAAACAAGATCAAGTCAATAGAAAAGGGACAAATTTATCTAATAGATTTCCTATCGCTTCTATAATATAATCTTGTGGTATAGAAA